AGAACAGGCAATGTGGACATCGTCACAGTGAGTTTTGTGTGACGTTTTCCGACGAGTCAAGGATTGACTTGCACTCTTTTGGACTTTCACATGGGAAAACTCCAAATACGTGCTACCACCAAGACAACATCATTGAAAGACAACATCATTGATGCAGGATATCTATAAACAGTTGTCCCTCCTCCCGAAAAAAACTCAAAAATTTTCATCATTTTGCCAGTATAAATTTAAGTTAATGAAATTAAAAATACAATTACTTTGAAAGTGGTGTAAATCCACTTTCCGCAAGGGCATATTTAGCTCAAAACTTATACTACATAATTTCTTTGTTTTGTTTTCGTATGTGTGGCAACACTGTTAATGATAAAAATTTTCGTTCATTCACTGGAATTTTGGGTACTTCGACCGTTTTTTGTAGAGTATAAAACTTTATAATGTGTCCTGTTTGTTCACTTCACTTGAAGTAAATAAATACAATTACCTCTAAAATTATTAATTGTTAATTTTATAAAAAGTGTGCATTTTATCTCTAATAAAAGGAAGAGTCTGTCTGGTGTGTATGTCTTTCGTTTGTGCTGCGCGTAAGCTAATAGACCCAGGGCTCTGAAATTTGGTACATAGGGTGCATCTAGACAAGAGTCAAGTGCACCTCGAAGCGATGTTTTCAGAATTCGAATAAGTATTTTTTATTTTATGATGAAATCGCATCAAATGTAAGAGAAGTGTGTATAAGGAATAGTAGAAAAGAAGTAAAATTGTTCACAAGGCGTTCTGTAAGCTGCTAGGTGCCACAACCGAATAGTTATGACACAAAGGACGCATGTGTACGATTTTACAAGTGGAAGAATTATCGGCCGCCAGGAATGTGTCCGTACTCGGATGGAAGTATCCGAGGAACTTGGAATAGCCCAAAGTGTCATCCCTAGGCTTTGCCAACGATTCTAAAATGATGAAACTATCAGTAGACGTTACAGTACAGGTCGACTTCCCCCCTGAGTTAGAATGTCGAATGACGATAGGTGTTTGGCAGTAACTGCCAAAAGAAGCAGACTGAGCGCAGCATCCGACCTGTCTCAATAGCCATCTTCAGGCACGGGTACAAGAGTTACAAGGCAAATCTTCTACAGACTTTTGGAGCAGATTGGTCTACATGCTTGCAGGCCTGTCAGATGTGTTCTACTCATGGCAACTCATTGTCGCCAGTGGTTAGCCTGGAGTAGAGAACAGGCAATGTGGACATCGTCACAGTGAGTTTTGTGTGACGTTTTCCGACGAGTCCAGGATTGACTTGCACTCTTTTGGACTTTCACATGGGAAAACTCCAAATACGTGCTACCACCAAGACAACATCATTGAAAGACAACATCATTGATGCAGGATTGCTCGTCTGGGGTGTAATTTCACTGGGCTCCAAAACAAATTTGCATTTTCAGATCGGAACCATGACAAGCCAAATTTATCGGAACATTCTGGAACAACAAGTATGTTTGCTCATGGTTGCCACTGGCGTAGAATTTGCGTTTATAGTTGACAACGCCGGTCCTCACCGTGCAAACACATTGCAAAGGAATGCCTTCAAACTGAGGATATCACCTGTATGGAATGCCCAGCATTCTCATCTGACTTAAATCTGATAGTACATGTGTGGGACATGATTGGTCGACGAATTGCGGTCCGTCTAGCACTTCCTACATGTGTACCGGAACTTTGGAGAGCATTGCTTGCTCAGTGGAGTAATCTTCTCCAAGATCAGCTCGAAAATTTGATACTCAGCATGCCTAGGCGTTATACGGACTGCATTTCATTGTTTGCGAGACATACAATGTATTAACCGCTATACCAACCATGTAATGTTAAGTTTTTGTAAGGGAGGTATTTTTTGCAATTGCTCCCGGGAGCAAAAATCGTAGTTTTTATAAATGGTATCATACATACATCATCTTTTTTGTTTTTTATCTTTTGTTTAATAAATGGGCTTATGAATAAGTCACGTTTGTTTCGTTTTTGAGCTTTTATTTGCCAGAGCTGACAATATCCTTAATTTATGGACATGAGTGTAGTTGAATGAATATCACTTAAACTTCAGATCTTCTGGCATGGATGATATTTACTATTAATTTCTTAACAAAACATTTTATCGAACTATGATAGCAAGCAAGGCATCAGCAACAGATTTGCTATTCAAAAATATTTACTTATATACGTTTAAAGTAAATACTTAGCACGAATGTAATATAAAAATTGATTGCATGTTTCAATGCAGACTTGAGAAATAAGTCTTCAGCGATAATCCATGTGAAACAGTCTGATTTTAACATGACTTATCAAACAGTGACATAACCGACTATTCCTCATACAATGTTTATCTCTTCTATTTTTATATAGTCAGTATATATTAAAGGTACGTAAATCCAGGTAATATGTATCAGAAGCACTCTGGCATTAAAATAAAAAAATACCTCTTTCTCATGGTAGTTTGTAGAAATTTGGACTTTTTAAGTGAAACCACGTGTTGATCAGAGAAGGGAATAAATTGAAGATTCAAAGCTAGTTTCTTCTTTGAAAGTCGAATTCGTAAGTAATAATCAGAAATCTTCAAGGCCGACTTTTCCGCTATACAGTGCAACAGGTAGAGCTCTGGAAAGTTTTTGTAGCAAATATACAAATTTGGAAAGATAAAGGAAATTGCCTTATAAGACCAATTTATCGCCTTTCAATCGCCCTACCAGTTGCCGAATGATTAAGACCGCTGAATACTGGTAGTTCGACTTGGAATCGAACTCAGATGAGCAAGCTGACTGTTTTGCTGGGCTTCGTCCTTTTCATGATGTTTAGTGGAAATACAAGCCAGTTTCTCTCAGAAAATCCTCTTCCAAGGCACTTCTTCCCTTAGGTTTGGTCTATATGACTACGACAAATGCTGGAGGGCTACCTGCCTAAAGGGAAGGATGCCTTCCTGGAGGACTTTCTAAAGGTTAGGTTATTTAATTACGGCAAAGCCTCGAGGGTTATCTGCCTAAGGGGAGGGATGCCTTCGTGGAGGACTTTCTAAGGGAAACTGGATCGTATGCACGTTACACATGTGGAAAACCGCGAAAACACCCATGCAGCCAGCCCGTTCGCGGGATTCGAACCTCGGACCGAACTACCAGTGGGACTTTCTAAAGGAATGTGGCTCATATACACGTTACACATGCGACATGCGACGGGGGACGTGGGCACCACCCCTTTACCGTCGGTTAATTGGTGTAGCGCCACGTCCACCAATATCTAGAGTTGAACCTTTGAACCTTGAGTCTTTCAAAAGAGCAATTACATGGCCATACAAGGGCTGTTAATATTTAGTATTACATTCTTGTTTGCTGGTTAACATATTCTATGGATAACGTGATTTACAGAGTTACATACTGACTTTGTCTCTCATTTCCGGCATACAATGCATATGCATTACCTGAATTACATTAATCTTACATTGCGTTGGATTACTTTTGTGTACAGTTACAGTTTTTAGCTGTACATTTCAATAAATATACCTACATTACTTGTAGATTGCATATAAATACAGTTTGCATGTACAGTTACATATGCCAATATTACATGTGCCTTGCGTTACATTATTTTTATATACATATATAGTCAGGCACGCCTGCTTCACATATTACTTAATTTTACCTACACTGCTTAAACTTAGGTTACATATACTTGCAGTTGCATATAGATACATGCAGATACATTCTGATTAATTTTTTAGATACAAATATTTACAAACATAATAGTCTTACAGGTTACTTACATTACATGTTATTTGGGTACTTACTGCATAATTTTCCAGTACATGAAATAGACATTCCAATACATACATTGCTTTGCATTAGACATCCTATATCCCTTATTCATAATACAAAACATATATGTTACCCATGCATTTTTATTAGACATTTCTGCATTTATATTGCATTACTTTAAATTGCATAACTTACTTATACATAGCTTACTGATACACAAAAATATTTACATATATTACACTCCCTTACATTACTTTGCTTACAGATATATGCACTTTCATACATTCGTTATGCCTACATTATATATCGGTTCATTATATATGGTCTTACGGTATAATTTGCCGAAATTTATTTACACAGTACATGCACATTGTTAAATGCAACTGACTTTCCAGGTATGAATACAGGCAGTCTTTATACTGTGAGTTTCTAGTCTACATTATAGTTTCTTACAATTCACTTGAATGACAGTTTTCCTACAATACACGTTACACATAAGGAGAAACCACGAAAAGGCCCATGCAGCCAGCCCGTTCTCGGGATTCGAATCTCCGACCGAACTACTAGTATTCAGCGACTGGCCGTACTTGGCCGCTGGTGGGTCCTTAGGAGGAAAGCCTTATTTACAGTTCAAATAACCTAACCTTTCAATTATATTACATTGCAATGATTTATTTAAGAGAAAAGGTAATTCAAAAAGAAAGAGTTTTTAAATTTATCAAAAATTGCTTGATTATTGACGGTCTGAAGGATTAAATACATCCATTACAATCAAGACTCTTAGAACAACTCCTCAAAATCTGTATATTGATTGAGTGTGCTGATAAATAAACTTGTGAAATCAAATGAAAGGTCACCTGATAAAGTAAATGAAAATAAGTTAAATGTGTAAACAAATATTTGATTATTTTCTCTGCTAAAATTCTCATTTTCCTAAAAAAATTCAATATTCTTTGATAGCTCTGAATGCCTTGTGAAGTCGCATGAAGGCGACAGTAGTGCCTTAGTAAAGGTCATGTTCGGTAAACAGAAATTGTTATACTAAACTTCTATGAAAATCTCAATAGACGACTCATATAAAATGACACCTTTCATTTACGTTTTAATTAGAATTTCTTCTAGCGTCAAAGAAGCATAATTAAAAAAGGATGTTCAATTTATACTGTCCAATTAAATAGATAAAAGAACTACTCAGATATTTTATTATATTTTATTATACGTTAAAAATATTTACATCTTGAATATATACACTAGAACTAATTTTTATGTTAAATACAATCTTCTTGACATACACGATACAATTTTATTCTTCAATTGAACATATCTTAATTTTCAGTGTTTAGAAAATCTGCATTTTTTTTGCATCGTTGCAATATCATTGTGTTTTTTGGCAATCTTCGGTATATAACAGATAATGCTCTCCTTAAATATTTTTATATTTATCACGAGGTTTCAAAATTTTTACTTTCAGAAGAAAAGGTTTTTTTTTTGCCCTTTTAAAGAAGTTTCACGTCTTTCAGAAGTGGGTACGTCATGAAGTTACTTAAAGATTTTATTTTAGTTTGTTATAAATATTAATTTTTTCTTTCACATGCCCCGATTTATTTTTTAAAATCATTGCAATGCTTTCCCTCTTCTTAGCAGCATCGCTTGTTGGAGAAGGATTTTCTAAGCACTCTATAGCACTTACCAAATTCAAAGAATCAGATATGTTACCATCATTTTTATTTTGAATTTTCAGACCGCTCGTTTTACGAAAAGCCGTCTGAAGTTCAGTGAAATTAATCTGTCTGACGTTTTCGTTATCTGTTGGTATTACTACCGCACATAATTCAGTGCAATTCAAATTATTATTCCTCCAATGTGTAAAATACTTCTCACCACTATCCAGTTTACAGCTGGAGTTAGGGAGAGATGATCTTCTAACAAGTTCATGGGATTTCTTATTTGATTTTGAATATTTGGTAGAATCACTCAACACGCGAGCTACGTTCTTCCGATTTCTGCTTCGAGATTTAGGCTTCTGCATAACACGCACTTTTTTAACCATTTTACCTTCCGAACCATCATTACATTTAGGGAAATTGCTAAACTCACTTTCAGGAGGAAGATGACCTATACAAATATTTTTTCCTACCAATGCACTACCATTTCGGCTATCAATGAACATGTTTTTATGTTCTAATTTTGTTATACCATTGTCTAATAAAGCAATTTCATTTTTGCTAGGATGTTTCAAAGTCAAACCAACGATTTCTTTACATCTGCTGCTTGAGACTTTGCTTTTTCCTTTTGAAAACTCTCTTTTCATTGATTCTAATTGATTTCTATTTGAGCCATTTTGATGACGTTGTGTAACACTTACCTCTTCTTTCTTTATAACCAAATTAGAAAGTTTATTACTTTCTATCCTGTGAGGAAGGCTTCTGTGGACACTATTCAACTTGAATTTTGTATTACTAGTTCTTAAACTTTCAGTTCGATAAATTGCAGTTGTGGTAGAAAAGCTTTCTCCATTTTTTAGTAGAAACGATTCTTCCGTATTTATTCTCCTTTCTGAACTTTTTTTCTGAGCTGTATTTCGATTTTGTTTGCTTGATAGCATTGTAGTTTGGAATTTATTCATATCAGAGGTGTTCGGAGAAAAATTAACAATCTCACTCATTTCGCTCTCTGCCCAAAAATTGGCATGGTCCGTTTTTAGAGTAATATTCTGATTCTGATTTAGTTTCACTTCATTGTAGTCATCCAAGTTTAGTTTCTTACAAGAATTTGCTTGTTTATGGCTATTTTTACGATCAGAAGGATCACTTTCAGACTTTTCAGTCTTTGGAGATTCATGTGATTTTTGGTTCACAGACCAAATTTCATTACTGTCCTGTAAAAAGCCTATATTGTTCACATTACGAATAGATTCTTCTGGCGTTTCGGAAACTACGTGCAGAAATACTGCGCCAGAGATAGTTGCTTTAGAACAAGTTTTAACACCAAAATCAAGATTCAGTTGCAAACGTTCGATTCCATTTTCTGTCGAACGAATATTCTCATTCTTCGAAAAGCTACTTTTCCGTTCGTCAAGTTTTCTGTTTAAAATTTTATCATCATTTACTAAGATGGATTTTTTTGACAATTTATCAACAGAGTCTGATTTTTGAATGTCATCATATACTAATTTTATAGTACTGTGCGATGATAACGATGACTGATTTCCTTTGAATTCTTCGGCAAGCTCCATCGCTCTCTAAATAGAAAACATTGAAATTTGAGGGAACGAATTGAAAAGAACGGAAAACATAAAAATTAATATGCCAACAATATACACTCATGTCCATAAATTAAGGATAATACAAAATCAGGCAAAGGAAGAGCTAGAAGAGCAAAACAAATTTTACTTATTTGTAAAGCTTATTTATTAAACAAAAGGAAAAAAAAAAAAAAAAAAAAAAAAAGATGCTATATGTTTGATATTATTAAAAAAAAATTACGATTTTTTCTCTCTGGAGCAAATTACAAAAAAAAAAAAAAAAAAAAAAAACCTATTTACAAAAAAACCAATATTACATGGTTGGTATGATTGTTAATACATTGTATGTCTCCCAGACGATGCAATACAGTCCGTACAACAACTAGGCATGCTGAGTATCAAATTATCGATCTGATCTTGGGGGATATTACACCACTCAAAAAGCAATGCTCTCCGAAGTTCCGGTACACATGTAGGAGGAGGTTGAGGGGCTGCAACTCGTCGGCCAAGCATGTCCCACACGTGCTCTACTGGATTCAAGTCCGGTGAGAATGCTGGTCAGTCCATACGGGTGATATCCTGCGATTGAAGGCATTCGCTTACGATGTTTGCACGGTGAGGACGGGCGTTGTCATCCATAAACACAAATTGTGCGACCATGGCGGCACGAAACAAACGTACATGTTGTTTCAGAATGACGTCCCGATAGATTTGGCTTTTCATGGTTCCAATTTGAACATGCATGTCAGTTTTGGAACCCAGAATAATTCCACCCCAAACGAGCACTCCTGCACCACCGTAACGGTGTCGTTCAATGATGTTTTCCTGGTGGTAATGGGTACCTGGACGGTTATTCTACGCTACGAGAGTCGACAGCAAGTTGTGGGCTGCCAGATGTCGCTGCTAGTGAAAAACAGGTCTAACCTCCTTGTGCCCGACATCCTATATTCTCTGAGTACGGAAGTTGTAGAAAGCGCGCAAAAAAGTGTTGCCGCGTCGTCAATCAGGGTTGTGCAGTTGACGTACTAAGTAGATAACGGCTTTGTATATGTTTTCGCTGCTGATTTTTTATATATAATAGATCTCTGAATTGGTGGCGAATTCGCTTTGTATATGTTTTCGCTGCTGATTTTTTATATATAATAGATCTCTGAATCGGTGCGAATTTATAGAATTCGCCACCGATTATAGAAAATATGTTGATACTTTTGCTCTGCCAGAAGATGTTATCATTGCGTATTTCAGATTGCCAAAATTTACGGTTATTTTAATTTGCGATGAACTGATAGAGTATTTGGAGCCACATTCAGAAAACAAGAACGCAGTTTCTACTGAAAGAAAGGTTATTTATACTATTCTTGAAATTATAGATTTAAATTGTAATTATATGCTTTAAAAATGTAGAAGATAATAAGTTTATTAAGCACACATAGATATCCGATAAGCTTCTACTCGATTTATGCACAGCAAGAATTACGTTTATTTTAAAATCTAACAGTTGAATACCTTACGAACAATACTGTACACAAAAAGGAATGTCGTTCATTATTACGCGAAATTCACACTACTGTAAAATAAAAATTTAAAAAACAATTATAAAACTATAAAATAGCTTTATAATATTTTTCCAGTAGCAGTACTACTACTAGTGTGATACTTTTAAAAATAAGTTTTAGCTCAGAAGGGCTATTAACTTCGTTTTGCCATTTTGTAGCTTTTCACTTTTCAAATCGTTGCCACTAAATATCATCCCGCTGTATTATATTTAATAAAATTAAATAATGAGAAATCTGCATAAATGTATGAATGTTTCTCGCACTGTGATAAAACAACGGTAACTAGAGCCATGAAATTTTGAATAACGTAATCCTCCATCCTAATATAGGTATCTTAGAGGCCAAAATTTGGAACTGGGAATTTGTTTTATTATCTATTTCATATTTTGTAAAGCATTTATGAGTGTTTGATTAAGAAACTGAATGATTTCAAAGCGAGCAATGGCAACATTGTACGGAAAAAAAAAAAAAAAAAAAAAAAAAAAAAAGAGGAAAAAAAAACATTTTCATCTCTAGCGCGCGAAACTATGTATCGGAAATTCTAAAGATACGCTCTTTTTAAATTATATGATTTTGCGGTTGAATTGAATTTTATGGTTTAAATGCGAAGAACATGATATTTAATAAATAAAGGTAACACGCAAAAAATTAAAAAAAAAAACCGGCCTTTTGGGAGTAATATAAAATCTGAAAGCTTTCAGATTTTTTTTTTTTTTTTTTTTTTGGGTGTGTGTGTGTGTAATTTCATTACGCTTTAAAATTGGTTTCTAAGGGAGGACTTTCTGAGGGAAACTGGCTTGTATACACATTACATATGGGAAAAGCCACGAAAACGCCGATGCGGGCAGCTCGTTCGTGGTATTCGAACCTCGGACCAAACTACCTGCGTTCAGCGACTCTACCGCTCGGCCACTGGTGGGCTTATTAGCAGAATTATACTGTATTATTATTGTATTATGCTATAAAGCAACAATGCTATAAGACTGAGACATACCTTTAGAATTTCCGATGCATAGTTTCGCGCGCTAGAGACAAAAAGGTTTTTTTTTTTCCCCTCTTTATTGTTCATGGAATAGTACTTTTGTAATCCATTAGTATTCAAAAAATCATTGTTTCTTTGCAAACTTAAAAAAAAAAAAAAAAAAAAAAAAAAAAGATACTGTTCATAGCAGAGTTCTCATTTTTATATTGTAAAAGAGATATTGATTATTATTAGTTTTCTATTTAATGTGTCGAAACGCTGGTTTGACAAGGACTTCAACTGCAGAAAAATATTTAAAGAAACAGTGCGAATCTGAAAAAAAAAATCACCTTCAGTATATTTAAAAAACACTGATAAATTTATAAAATAATCTGAATTAATATAAAAGATTTTCTTATATGAAATTATCTAAGTGCATTTAGTTACAATATTATTAACGCGAATATCGTTTTGTGTAAGGGTAAAGAAAATATTTTTTCGCGCTAAATTAATTAATGGATTATTTATTTTGAGAAAAAAAAAAAAAAAAAAAAAAGCACGAAAATCCGAGTTTAAATTATCGCGAAAAGTCAAAGAACGATTCATCTTAACCCGTGTTTTTCAATTTCCTATATACGTCATACATTGATTATTTTTACTTTGGTACTTGCATTGTGAAAATAATATTACTATTTTTTAATTATTTTCACAGAATAAAATCTTTTGAGAAGGAAGAATATTTTAAATAAGCAGTTTTTATATATATAAGAAATTAAAATAACAGCAATGTAATGTTAAAAAAAAGTATTAATAATTGTGTAACAAAAATTACAATACGAATTAATCACACATACAGGATAGATTAGTATAATTTTGGTATATATTTTATATTGAAAAAATATTTTATGTTAATTATAGAATAGATTATTTAAAACATTTTGATGCGTGTGTGATAGCTGAATGCAGCAGCAATCGGCCGTACTGTAATAACGAATGAATTTAAAATTGTTTATTTCTAAAAAGATTTGAAGTGAGCTTTACTCTTATCTATTTACCGTTGCTTTCATGGTATCCCATATCACTCTACATTTCTTAGTCCTAAATTCCTGCGTTAACTTTCCCCTTAAAAAACGGATAACATAGCAGCATATTCTGCTGCGTGTGGTCATAATACTGTTTTGTGCCATTTTTTTTTTCAAACTACAAATGCAGCGTGTGAGTTAGTGAAATAATGGGAGAATATTCCTAGAACTCGAGCCAGCGCGCGCTATAAATTTCGTCACTTGTCTGTACTGCGATTGGTCTAAAGCTCTTTGAAGCTTTGTCCCCTTTCAGTAAAGTCAAATGGACCCACCCGCCCACCAACTGAGGACCATAGAATGGCTTTCTCCGATAAGTTGTGATGGGTTGTCCATACCGGTTTTTTCGAATCAATATTGTTCCCTCGAGTTGTAGACATATCCAGTGATCATACAATAGGCGTCCTGGAGCTCTCCATATGAAAGTCCGGCGAGAATCAGACTGCAAGCTAAACCTGGACTCGTCGGAAAACACCACACAAGTCCACTGTTGCGGTGTCCACAATGCATGCTCTCTACTCCAGGCTAACCGCAGGCGACAGTGAGTTGCAGTAAGTGGAACGCATCTGACAGGTCTACGAGCATATAGACCAATCTGCCCTAAGCGTCTGTACACGGTCTGCCTTGAAATTGTCGTACCAGTGGCTGAAGAGAGCTGACGAGACAGGTCTGAGGCTGTGCTCCGCCTGTTTCTTTTGGCAGTAACTGCCAAATACCTGTCCTCATTCGGTGTTGTAACTCTGGGGCGACCTGTGCTGTAACGTCTACTCACATTACCATCATCTTGGAATCGTTGCCAAAGCCTTGAGATGACACTCTGGGCAATTCCAAGTTCGTCTGATACTTCCAGTTGGGTACGCCCACATTCCAGACGACCGATAATTCTACCACGTAAAAAATCATCCAAATGCGTCTTTTGAGTCATAACTAGTCGGTTATTGCACTGAAATGCTTATAAAGCGCCTGCGAACAATTTTACTTCTTTGCCTGTATTCCTTATATATCACTCTCTTACACTCTTGTCATTGTGACGTACCATCGGTGTCATCTGGTTATTTCCTGAAATTTGCATATGATTCTTGAAGATGTGTGTAGTGATTTCGCAGGCGATATATTTATTTTAGATTTCGATTTCCGCGTGACTCCGAATTATCCTTAATTTATGGACATGAGTGTAATACAATATACTTTTGCCAAGCGCGGATTTGTTAACCCGACTTTTGTACACTCATTGCCTCAACTGTTTCCATTTAATCTGTGCAATGCTAGAATTTCATTTATATGCTCTTCAGTTTTCATCCATCGACACTGAAAGCTTGCTGGCATCAGCTCTAACCGAGATGCATAATTCACAAGTGCACATCAGTATCGCCACTGAGGGAGGAGTTTCAAAAACGGACC